ACAATGAGTCAGAGTATGATAGAAATAAAAAATTGATAATAAATTTTAAAATTTAAAGCTTCTTGATTAGCAAAATGATCTCTAACTCTCTCTCGTCTAGATGTGAAATCAACGAACCGTAACGTTTACAATGATGGAGAACTTGCGCTTATATTACATAACGCTAAACAAAAAAACGAATGGTTCATGATTTATGAATGAATACCACATAACTGCTATTTTGGTTGCAATTTAAAATGCAAATCAAAGTATAAATACGTACGTACATATAAATGGACTCTTGCTGCGATATTGTCTAAGTGTTTTTCGTTTTCTTCCTTGTAACGTTTGCGAATACTATGTAATGGTTGAAACTGCAGTGGCCCCAAAGGCATCAGGGATGAGGAATCAAAAACAAACGTCCTCTCTTCTGTTCTCTACATGTGAAGGTTGCGACGTCGTAGTAGTTTGACAATTCGTACGTTAAGATGACCGACGGATGCTAGAGTAACTGCACATGATACGGTAGAAATTTTGTTTGCCGGCATTTTTGTGTGTTTCTTTTTGAATATAATTCATGGTCATTGGGAATCTCGTTTTTTTTCTATTTTTTGTTTTTTTTATACGAAGCATAATCAAATGTTGAACGTACTCGTATCCGTAATAATAAGAAAATTACTTTTAATAATATTATTACAGATAAATTGCAATGCGGTACTACCTAACTTTTGCCGAAAGATTTTACGTTGAACATATAAAATTTGTTAAACTCTTGCTTTCAATTACAAAAAGCAAAAAATATGTTCTTATTGTAACGAATTTTAATTAAATACCGATTGAAGTTTTTTTTTTACTATCGCCAGCTTTTTGAGAGTGGAGACAGTGTACAACTCCACAGACATAAAGTAGGTATGAAAGAAAGAAGAACATTCCACAGAAAGATTAATCTATAACACAACATCGAGCGAGAGCATATTAAATGCTATAAATTGAGACGGTCATGTTGCCGTGTGATTTGAAACCGTTTTGTCCCCTCTTAAATACTGTTTTACTCAACCCTTATTCAAGCCCTAAATAGTATATGAATAACAACAATATTCGATGGTTTATGTAAAATATAATAAATTTTATATCAATGGACGAGTTAACCCAATTAATTATGAAAGAGAGATGTCACGCTCTTAGACTTGAGCAGTAAAATAAGAGAAGAAGTAAATTTTCGGGCAGTCTGATTTGTCACGAGAACCATTTTCTGATTACTGATAGTCCAATGCTACTATCTGACTAACCGCTGTTCACGGAAATCCCCGATTATCGGGTGACGGTACATATCCTGAGCGGAAGCGGGAAATACTTGTGGATGTGCATGGTAGAGGTGCGCATCGTTAAACACAGGTTCTAGCACTTCAGTTTATCTTAGTGAAGAATTCCACTTTGGTGGTGCCATTCACGGCTTCACTAATAACATTGTACTAAAAATGGTTCAACTTTTCCTGTACAGCTGGCTTGCTTTTCCGCTTCTTCTAAACATTCATATCGAGCTGCTGTCAACGTCGCATTCCTAAATCAAATTTTATTTTCAGCAGTTATTCTCAGAAACTGAAAAAGGTAAACGAAGATAACGGCTACCATATTAATAACTCAAAATTAGGAAATACACGAAACATGATACATAATCAAAAATTTATAAAATCGCTGCATGCGTGGCCATGCAAGGTTTCTCTCTGTTTCTACGCAAGAATGTTTAAATGAAAATCGATTTAAAGAAACGCTGCTGACGCTCGTTCTACAAAAAGCGATTTGCACGAAAATATTTTCTTTTTTGCTTTCCCTACGATTTTGGTTTTGCTTATCTATTGTATGGCAATTGAATTCTATCATTATGCATATTTCATTGGCACGCACACGCACACGCACACATGCAAATTATCTGCACTTGCATTGAAAGATTCACTATGAAAATTTGTACAAAACAAACATCAGATTCGACTGCAGGCGAATTTTGGACACACTGCACCGTAGGGTTCGATTTAAAAAAACACCTTTGCTGACGAGCTTTTAGGCGCTGCGACCAATTTTTTAATCTAAATTTCAAATCGATATTGTCGCACATAGCCAGAGAGCGCGTGTACGTGCTTGCAAGCAACATTCCGAAATCTTAGAATTCCTCCAATTATTACCAAGCATTAATGGAGTTTTGGCAAAGACGTTAGTGCCAAAAGAGTGTAGATAGGCGAGCAGAAGAACGTGACTGACGGAACGTTTGAGAAAATTCTTCTCCTCAAAAATATATACACACGCCATCATCTCTCCGACATTGGCAAATGGTGAGGCATAGCGTAGCAAGTACGTCGCAAGCTTTGTGAGTAGATATAAAAACAAAATTCAGTCCAGCTTTTTTATGAACAATATCCAGAATGTCGAGTCGCATGCAAATGCAAACGGGATACTTGAGATTATATTTACTTAGCATGAAATTCATAAATATTGTTTGTCAAACATGAAATTGAATCCATGAGGACAGGATTCTTTTATTATTGTTTTCTCTTTTTTTATCTTTCTCCAGACAAATAAAAATACGTACGTAAATGTCCAAAAAGAATGAAAAATAACTAAATTGAATTGATTTTTTTTTGTTTTGATTATGTGCAGAATATCAATGAGAGCACTTTAAACAAATCTCCGTACATTTAATAATCATTGGTATTGCGATTAACAGTAAATTTTTGATTTTGCCAATAAATGATAAATATAGACGAAGGGCAACTTTTGACGAAGAAGCCTTTGTAAGAGCTCAATACCCCATAAATATATAGTAGGAAAACGGAAATTATGATTAAATTATGATACCGTTCGTATTTAAGGTTTAGAAAAGATAGGCTTCAAAATGGATTGGAACAAATTACTTAAGTTTAGTTCATTGATTTCCCTCATTTTGCATTTTTTACTATAAGCAAAGACGTATACTTATATTTCTAGTTCACTGCCTATATGTTAGATCACGAACTTGATGTCGGATTTTAGCTGGAAGTATTCCCTTTCAGTTTTCTATTGAACGTACATACGTTACGGATTTCTTGAGTTCAAAATTCGACTTTTAGTTGAAATATTTTTTTATTAACGGTAATAACTCTTTTATAAATATTGCTGAAATAAAACGAAGAAAAAAAGGGTGCACCAACCCTTTACCTGTAGTCATCACTACGACGTAGTGAATACGATGTATTCAGCAAGCACCCCTGCAAGCAATTATTTAATAGTTGAACGTTCGGTTCTAATTGACTTAAGCGTTGTGGAAGAAAATTCCTCGCAAATGCGGCCTTGATCGTAAATGTATTGAAACTTTTTACCAAAAAGGTTACGCAGGCTTAGAACGAATCGTTTAGTATCCCTTACATATATTTTAGTTTGCTTTATTTGTAATTCTACGGCGTTAGGAGTTTCCAGGTATTTTCCAAAATACTCCCATTATAGACAAGTTGTTCACGACCTTAACATCTATATCCAATATTCCTATGTGTGGATTACAAGTAAACTAAGAAAATCAACTTGCCTTTGTTTACAAAAGCAAAAAAAATTATTCATAAGATTTGAAGCTGCGGCACTGTGCATCAATGCAAATTGTAAAAGGTCAAAGTATGGCGATGATAGTGCATATGGATCTTGAAAGTACTATTACCACATTTTCGACACTGAATTATGGCCGGATAATGTAACAGTTACACGCATTTGCAAGAATTTCAAAGCGCATTGCCTAAATTACCTCGAGCCCCTTGAGTAATGAAAACACATTAATTGCTAAGTATGAAGGTGTGTTCTGTCGCATTTTATATAAAAATTTAAACTTGTGTGTACCACTGCGATTTTAAGAGAATTTGGCATAGTGTGAGAACCTTTTTAATAATTCCTTCAGCAACTTTTTCTCTACTTTCCAAGAAAAGCACTTAAAGCATAGCTATTGTCATTCAAAAAGTGATGCGTTACAAAAAGAATAATAAAAACTCAGGCGCCTTTTGTTCCTTTTCATCATTATGTGCACGTTAAGCAACAAACATATAAATGCATGAATGCTTTCATTCTCGCGCAGTAGTGGAAACCACGTATTTTGAAACTCTTCTTATATGTGACCAAAAAAACAAAAAATGTGCATAATTTAAGAAACCCTCTAACAACAGGTTTTTAAGTTTCCTTTTTTTTGCATGGCATTGAAAAATTGTAAAAAATGATTCAAATGTTTGGTACAACACAGTTTTATACGTTCATTAAATAGTTTATATTTTCCTTCGAACAGCGGATTAGTGCCGTGTAGTTAATAAGAAAAGTAATTCAAAATGCATATGTCCACCCGACATTGTCTATCGGACTAGTACTAACACACAGCAGCTCATGAATGCTGTAACATAAATATAAGAAAGAACGTAGCCTTTGTTCGCTTACAATTTATCCAGTGAAGTTTTCGCATTAAAGCGAGTGTGCGTGTTTTGAAATAAACAAATTCTTGTTGAAAAGTTTTTTAGCTATACTTTACTATATAGATAGGCCTTAGGCCATGGATTCTACAAGTTGTCTTACTTTAATTGAAGGTTTGAGCACATGTCAGCATGTAGATATGCACGTGACGAGTAAATCGCTAAAGATTTATATATGCCACTATTTTGTGTCCTCATTTCATTACCATATAACGCAGTTGATAACAAGTTTCAGTTTAAGTTTAAAGCGTCACTTACTAATGTCTTTTCTTTCTGTCTGCGATGCTATGTATTTTCCTGCATAGTTCATTTTGTTTTAATCAAAGAACGGGGGAATGAGGATGTAATTGATCTCTGTTTTTGGCTCAAGTTCCAATTATTATTTTTTCGTCTTAATAGCGCACGAATTATAATTTTTAAGTTATTATAGAAATTCGTGTGGCTTAGTGACACACTTGCTGGCGGTAAAATAGGAATTATTGTCATTTCTTTGATGCTCGTGGAAGATTCTTTCTTAAAACTAAATTTATAATTATTTTCAATTACTTGCAGACAGGCGCAAGCGGTGGACAATTACTAGTGTGATCATTTACAGCATGAGAACAAGCCATTTAAGATTTAATTCTGGATATTATTGCCAAAATTAACAATTAAAGCGCCAACACGACCAACAAGCACTTCAGCAATTATTGTTATCACGCCATGGTACATTAACCACAAAATTTCTAATGCATAACACAGATGGTTATAACTATGACACTGATATAGATGACAAAACTGAATAAAGCGAGCCGTTGCAAGAGCAATTTCAGTACCTTTCATATATTGAATACGAAGAGCAACACCATTTAAACATAATTATGGACTATCGGCTAATATTAAAAAATGTGATCGAATTTTCGAAGACATTTTTTATTGTCTACTAAAATTTTTTGCTCACATAACGAATTTCAACCTAACTTTGAGTACAATGATAAGGGAGTATCGGCAAAGTATTAGTGTTGCGCTCTGTAACCCACTAATGATAACCGTAGCGATAAGGAAAACACCTAAATAATATATTTCTCGTGTCACAAACATATAATGCCTATAAATGGATCATCGCCACCATCATCGTTGCTATTAATACGATTATCTTCAACAAATATCACATTGATGACAAATGAAACAAACGCAAACTCCTCTATAGCACTCCCTAAACCTGCGCTGTATTATGGTGGTCAACGGTATAATGTCATTGATGTTGAGCAAGATGCCATTGCCAATATGAAGTATTTAAATTTTGTTGCCAATGGCTTGGTTGACGAAAACGTTATGGTAGGCAATGACGTGATGAATGATGCTGTTAGCATAGGTGGCATTGCTGGTAACGACGGCGGTGGTAGTTCACTTTACGGCCCCAGCAGCAGCTCGGTTCCTGTTGATGCCTCTAATGAATCGCATTTAACCTTTGTCATCGTCAAATGTTTCATAATCGGTTTCATCATACTTGCTGCCATCCTGGGCAACATGCTAGTTATCATATCCGTTATGCGACACAGGAAACTGCGGTAAGTTTGCATACTTGCGTCGAACTTTTCTACTTTGACTGTTTACAAAGCAAGACTTTTGTGGAAAAAATAGACAGCAAAGGAGGGATTTGAATCCGCTGCAATGTGGCGAATATAAATAACTATTCATTTGCAGGTGATATGTTAAACAGATAATCTTTCTTATTTAAACGCTTGATACACTTAATCAGTTTCTTTTAGTTTTACCCATAAACACTTTCATGTTTTGGTTTGCATCTTGCGGCAAATATATCTTAAACCCTATAACTGTCTCGCTACCTGAATAACCAATAAAAAAACAACAATTAAAAAAACGATTTTGAAGAGAACGGCAACTGTTTTTTTTTGGGTGGAAGAAAATATAATACAATAATAATATTTAACGAGGTTATAGTTATAGTTAAATATTAAAAAACAATCGTTTTGAAATATAAATAAAATGAAGCAGGGGGCTTTGCGACAAACACCGTAATTGCTACAAAATTGGATTAAAGACCACAGAAGGTTCTTTATCCTACACATCTATATGCAGGAAGCATGCGGGATTTTTCAGAAATATTGATTGTTTTCAGAAACAGGAATTGCGTAAAACAGTTCGATTTTCAACCGAAAACAGACGTTCTCTTATTAATAATAGATGTGTAAATTAACTTACCAAAAAGTAAGTATTTTCCTAGAGGAGATTGTTTCGAAAACGGCAAGAAATATAAGAGCTTTATTTATTGGCAGAAGCACTGATAGCATTCGAATATCACATTTGCTCAAAGAATATCTTAATGCAGTTACACTTATACATTTTGGCTTGGATGTGCTTTTAATTAGACCTAAACAGTTTGCAAAGGTATTTGTCAGTGTATTAAAGACGCTACGAATTAGTAGGTAAAACATTAAGTTTAAAATTCCACACAGCTGCTCATAGCACTGGTAGTCTTTTCGGCCGAAATTTCGAGAGATGTAAGTTATTATGTTGATCTCTTGATCGAAAAGTGTCTAAACTGTATAAACTCTAAATGGCTTTGCTGTCATTTTAATGAAGGGGATATAAATGGTTCGCCTAAGCGTTCGCAGAACATAAAATCTTATTAATCAAATCCTGTTCTGACTTTGAGACCAAGTGGTAGTCTGAAATCGCAAGGACTTGTTTTTGTGCAGAGTTTGAATTGTCATCATGTTCGTCACAAGGAGAATGTTTTCTTTAAGTTCTGAGATAAATTTGCATATTCAGATAATGTAAAGCAATCTCTACGTTTGTGTGATGTGCGAGAGGAAAGGTGGCCTACAAAGAATGCATTAGATATTTTTTACAACGGCGTAATTCTATCACTCTTAAATGACATAAAATTTTCTCGCTTATTTTCTCAACTAACACTTCGAAAAGAGGGAGGCGCAGTCCAAATAATACACAATAACAAGTAGCTGTTGCGCCGTAAAAATCCTCAATGAAATTCCTTTTTCTACAAGTTGTTTCAGTTGTTGTTTTTATCGTATCATAAACACTACACCGAGGAATACAATATCTTCTGCTTTGATTTCAATTTTTAGTCTCTCTACTATACATCCCATAACTTGAGACGCAGACCAAAAAACAAAGCACAATTTAAAGAAGTAAGCAAATTATATCGGGCTATGGGCGAATCTTGCACACTCACCGTCTTTAGTTTAAAATACTAAAAGAAAATAAATTTCGATACTCTGTAATATTAAGAGGACTTTTGTACGGTCACTACAGCAATAGAACGTACATGGACATTCGCCCGCATGCATTTGTTGTTAAATCTCTTATGACCTACCTACGTTAGTTAGAGCTCCTAGTCCCCAAATCATACAAACTGTGACACAATTGTGATAAAAAGTGAATCATGTTACTTTTATTGTGGACATGAGTCCACGTACGCGTTGGTCATATTCAAAAGAAAATATTTATTATAAGTGGCGTGCGTAAATGTGATATCAAAAATATGCCCACAAATAGCGGTTTTCCTTGGACGAAGGGAATCCCGGATTCGCTCTGCGACGAACACAATTGTCTCATTCGTCGTTCATGTGTTTTATAACATAGTTTATGAATGTTTCATAAAAAAATCTTAATGAGATTAATGTTTCCTATGATTTATAGCTTTTTCCAGCAAATTTTTTTTATGTTTAATTTTGTTTTATGTACAGTTACTTTTGCGACCGTGAATTTGTACATAAATACATGCTAGCACGTGAGAATTGAATTAAAGGAATTTTAACTTCAAACCAACCCAGCCATGCCATGTAAACTTTCGCAATTGCAATCATGTTTCATTTGAGGTGGCTATTACGGCCAAATTATAATTTTATATAATCGTTAGAAAACTAACCGGCACTTATTATTAATTGCGATTCTGGACTTTGCGCTTGGGGGCGCATGGAAACAAGGCATTCCATGTGAAGCAATATGTACTTCTCATTCAAATTAAATTTGAAACCAGATATAATTTTTATTTTTAAGAAATTAGGGCGTCATAATTTTATTATTTTTAAGTAAGTCAACCGAGAAGAAGCTGCACTTGTAATTTTTAATAGCAAATGGCCTTGAGAACACGCTCCAGTGTGCAATTGTTCTTATCAACACGAAAGGTGATTAGATTGAAATCGGAGCCTGACGGGCGAATAGGGAATCACAAGCATTACTAAAAATTTTCAATTACGACTTTAATAATTTATTTGAAACAATCATTCAGTCAATAATTTTGATATTTTCGATTTTCTCTTTCTCTCATCCTGCATCTCTTTATGCTTTTGCAAACCTATAGCATAATAACCAATTATTTTGTGGTCTCACTAGCAGTTGCGGATATGTTGGTGGCGCTTTGTGCTATGACCTTTAATGCTTCCGTTGAAATATCCGGCAAATGGATGTTCGGTTCGGTTATGTGTGATGTCTGGAATAGTTTTGATGTATATTTTTCAACAGCAAGCATTATGCATTTGTGTTGTATATCAGTGGATAGGTGAGCATAAGTGCGCACAAGGCAACCACTGCCCTCCTTAATCAAAAGCGCGTCAATTATACTATTTTTCTTCTTTCAGATACTATGCGATTGTTCAGCCGTTGGATTACCCTTTAATAATGACTTCGCGCCGTGTATTTATTATGCTGATAATCGTGTGGCTGGCTCCCGCTTTACTCTCATTTCTACCCATATGTTCGGGTTGGTACACAACAAGTGAAAATTGGAAATACCTTAAATCAAATCCAGATGTAAGTAAAACTTACAAAGAAAAAAAAGAGAAATTAAATATTCATCATCTGGGTCTTAAACTTTCCCCCGCAAAGATATCTATGAATTAATTTCCCGCCCACACTTTTCGTTAATGATAAACCAGATAAGAAACAAGAAAACAAAGTAAAAACAAAAAGTAATTTTAATTTAGCTTACTTTTGCTTATAAACACTAAAGGCACTTAACTTTGACACATGTAAGCTTTCCATTAAATTCTGTCATTTGCTCGCCGACTTCCTTATTACGGATTTTTTTTGCTTGCATTTCTTTCTCTCCTTTCATTTTATTCTCTTATTACTTGTTCCATGTTCGATCACCTTGACACACATATTTGTCACTATTAAATTATGCCCTCAGTTTCCCTTCAGTCGTCACGATTTTCCCGTTATACGGTTTGTTTGCCCAACGCCAAACACGTTAATGTGTTTGTTTTCTTTAAATACGATTATAAATACGAGTACATCACCATTTGCGGTAATTTTACTTGGTCGTAGTGCACAGGCATTGAGCTGGCGTGGTACACACGCTTGTGCACGTGAAATGGCTTATCACATACTGCTAGCATAACATGAGATATGAACAACTATAGCAGGCTTCCACGCTTTCTCT